TCTGTGTGGTATAGATAGGGCTATTCAAAAGCTACGTATCAGGGACCTATGAAAAATTATCTAGTAAGAAAATAAACTTAAGAGAAGCCGTTATCACTTCGGTCGAGCCGGCCCGTTGCGTTAGAACCCATTAATTAATCTTGTACGTAAAATACTTGGTATGCAATTCATGTTCCTCGTCCCACTATTTGCAACTTCCAACGATAGGCTTTAGACATTACTTTCTTAATTAAAATTAAAGTTTACAGCGTGAACCAAAAAGTAATTAGGTTCGTTGTCTTGTCTAGAAAATAAAAATAAAGAGCCTTATCTATAGTTGATTTTTAATTTGCACATATTTAGAGATGTTCTATCAATAAACTATTCTATATCACAATATCTAAAAAAAAACAATAAACGATTTGAATTTAAACTATTTTCTATATAGGATAGGTGGGCAAACAAAAGACGGCTCATTATTTAAAAAAAAAATAGCCGCTTACTAGGATTTTCTCCTGTATCGTGGATGCGTTTACAAACGTACAATTTCACATACACATGACACCCAGACCCAGACAACAACAATCTGTGGATCACACACAGAGTTGCTCCATGCGGGAATCGAACTCGCGATACGTTGCGGGGCAGCCAGTTGCCTAATCACCGCGCCAACCGTGTAGTCATCATTGCAACGCCACCCATAGATACATTTTACGATAATTTCTTGTAAGGCCGTGGTATACTCCGGTCACTGGTGTAACCAGTCAGTCCGTGCCAAAGCAATGTAAAACGTATTCCCTACGTGATTTTCTGTATTTTCCCTACATAATTAAGTGATATTCCTAATTATATTTTATACATTGTATTTGATGATAACGTCCACAGCTGTTGCAGTAGGTACACTAGTCCACACATTGCACATAACGAGGGTTCGCTCGGTAACCGCGATAAGATAAAACATAGCGAATATTCCATGGATCCAGCTTTGATAGACCCTGTTAAATATATATATTAATAAACGCTATCAAAATCAGTTGAAACTAGATTACAATGAGGATACTGACTGTGTTGTTATTGTCGCGGTCAAAAAGTCCGCAAATGGCCTCGGATTCTAAATCCTGGGTGCTTACTCTTGAATCCAATTCCGATCGATCGACATGGGTATTGTGAAATTTCGTACTCTTGAGTTGCAATACTAGCGCCCATTGCATCTGTATTGCGTGGACATTGAATGAACTAAATAGTATTGAGTTTGGCTTTATGTTCCTTACTCTGAATGCTATTGTAAGTAGATACGATAGAGGTTGTACAGTTTTGACATTGAATAATTATTGAGATTTTATTGGATTGAAATTGCATTGACATTGAGATTGGTTTCAAGAGTAAGCACCTTGGTCTGGCAAAGCAATGGATTATATTACGTTTTTTATACATTAGTGGCTGATAAATCACCTGTTAGTAAGCAATCACAATCACCATCCGTACAACCAGAAGCATAGAGGGGACACAACACAGAAAGAAGACGTGTCGCCGGATTTGAAAATTTTATTTTGAAATATTTTCAAAACCACCGTTTAACAAGCCCAGCTCGTTCTAAACAAAAACCTCTCCAACCATTTCGCAAGTTAAGTACTAAATCTGAGGTCCAGGATACACCATAGTACCTACGCATCCGATGTTGACAGTTCCGATCAGTGTGCGACCTTCACGGGTCATTGGTCCATTTAGCACGGAAGTCGACCCACGCACACTGGAACTTGTGGTCATAATAATTATATTCGCATGCATAATGTTCGGGAATAGTACATCAGGAGGGCTACGGCCTGATTACAATAACTCCCTTTGTTTTGCAACATTATAATAATAAACTCAAGATAAAAATTGTAAACATAAAATAAAATAATGCTTAAAACTTTGATCAACCTAAAATCAGTGATGTAAAGTGTTATGTTTAAAATGCTTCAACACAATTGTACAATCGACAAATTCAAAAATTCCTTGCCTTTAGAGATATTTAAATATAATGGTAGCAGCGAACCTAGAATAAAATTTTGTCTTAATAAGACTAATCATTAATCGATAGTTGTATTCAGTTTATTTCGTTAAAACTAGCTAATAACGCCACCTAGTGGAGACTTTATACGGCTTTTTGTTCAAAGACTGGAAGTCGGTTTTTTTTTACTCTTTCGCTTCATCTACTTACATTATATTCATCAATCTCAGCATTGATGATTTTCGGTGATTGAGTGTGTTTTGAACTGACGAAACTTAGTTGAAAATAAGAAAACATGTGCCGAAGTATATTTCAACACTGTAAAAATAAGATAGTTAAATAAATTCGAAGCTAGATAAATTCCCGTAACGGATAGTTGTCAGCCATACTTCCGGAAGCTGAAAATTTTAACTTTGCCATGTCTATATATATTCGAAATTGCTGTTTTTGTTAAAAGTAATATGCAGATGTTTGAGCTTACTTGTACCAGATATAGAGGTAGAGGCAAAATTAGAAGTATTCCCCGAGTAAGTCTGCCTTAATGAGTAAGAGTGTTTTTTGCATGTTATCCAAGATATACAACAAACTGCCATGTTGTATTTCAGAAATTGGGAACCTCAACTTGTTTAAACTAAAATTAAAAGAATTTCTTAATGACAAAGTGTACTATACTGTAAAAGATTATCTTGAGGGGAATCCTTATGGTCAAAAATTTATTTGACATTGCTTGTGTGACATTCTATAATATAATTGACAATTACTTTTTTACATTATACATCTAATTTGACATTAATTTTTTGACTTCAGTGGTATGATTAATTATAATTTCTTTGACATTATTATATTCTAACAACATTACAAATAATTCAATTCAATGGACCTAATTTTATTATGTAATTATTTTTATAACATATCTTTGCATGCCAAGTTAAGGCAAAATATGGAGAAACTATAAACTTTGTTAACACCTATATATTATGTACCCATGTTTGCAAATGATTAAATGAATATGAATATGGAACGATTTTATTTATGCGAATCATGTACATACTGCTTTTTGGCTGCCTTATCAAAATTTACTTAAACGGAAAGCTAAATTTGGCCTCGCCTTTTCAAGTTGCGGAAAAGATTAGCATTTAATGCAAATACGTAACGGTAACTAACTTAATTTTGGATGGCACGAGTCATAAGTGTGTTGTTATACAGAACATTAATACGAAGATTATAATATTAAAGGAAGTAGGTACCCACCTATTCACTATATTTAGGTAGGCACTATTCTTCAAATACATATCTACTTAGATAAAGACTAGTATGATTCCAATTAGATAATTATACTAGCCTAAGTATACTAGTCTATTCTACCTTCCTACATGACGCGACTTCACTTTCAAGAAGTAAAGTAGATAGAAAGTCGAGGAGTAGAAAACATACTAATAAGACTTCGCCTCTACCATTAAATTGGTAAAAAACCGAAGTTATAATAACTTGAATACTGAAATATAAGTCTTAGGTAGGTACCTATTTATTCTAGAACCCAAATTAACAATGACTACCCAAAATACTTCATCGATCTAATCTCCTTTACCTCCTATACCATGAAAATCTGAGTACGGATACCTACTACGTCGAAGAAACTATCAATGGAAGAACTAACTAAAGCGATTGCGTAAAGAAATCAATGCATTTGACATGTGTTATGAATAATATTATATTATTGCGTCTGCATCGTGTATTATTTGTTTAGTTTCATTTGTTTCATGTTTAATAAGACTAATGTAAATATATGGAAATCAACGCCATCTATTTCAATACTACGGAATTAAAATAAGCCACTCTGTGTATAATCTACGACTACATCCGACTCACAGCGATAGAGGGCGATACTAGTTTCGAATACGCATTCGGTAGTACAAAATTACAAACATGAATTAATAACTGCTAAAAAGAAATTAATCCTCAAAAACATTTCTAAATAAATAAAAAACGCAGTAGTATACAAGGTGTAAACAAAACTCTCTCGGATACGCCGACAGGTGATGGTAAACAACAAGTTTTATTTTCATAAAAGTAAGGAAGTAAATCTTTCTTTTATGTAATAATATCTAGTTGTAATCACCTGCTCAAGACTGATGTTGCATTAATAATACGAAAACAAAAATTATTAAAATTGCAAAACCAATTTCTTTTTATCAGCGTTCCGGGAGCATTCCGTGTGTATGAAAGGTTCATTATTTTAGCAAAAAAAATGTAACTAATTTAATAATTTATTAAAGCCTTCTTAAATACAAATAACAATTTGGAGTTTCTATTCATTTCCTCATACAGCCCCAAATTAAGAACAATATAAACACAAACAAGCAACAATGACGTCAGACCTTTGAAATCACGACCATCGTCACAGACATATGAAAAAAAAAAACAAAACAAATGAAGCGTCCTACTCACTGTCCAATAAAACTACAGACGTCAAAATATATGCAAGCGCCGTCAGTAGCATGTAAGACGAATGTAACACTAGACAGTGACCGGACTCGCGTCATACGTGTCCGTGCATACAATATCGGGCGACGTCCTGTCACCCGATAAATCTGATATGCACTGATGAATGAACCTGTCACTGCACTTCCTAATGTGTGCACTGGCCGGCTTTGATTTGTTCTCAATGATATATTAGCTTTTATCATCGTTTCCTCATTGCTGTTTCTGTCGGTCAAGATCTACTTATGCGAAAGATAGTTTCGTTCATTCATTATTTCTTTTTTGTAGATACAACGCAAAATACTTGTGTTTCAGTTGAATAAATGTGATATTATTTGTCATTGTGCTTCAAATAGTAGGACTATCGCTTTTTAAGCATAAGACAAAACCAAAACATTTCGAACAGGACTATATTATTTGGTGTGGTATATATAACTGTATGTTATGTAACTATGTTAACACAAATTAATTGTAGATAATGCAGACTACACAATTATATTGACTAGTATTTAAAGGAGCAGTTTATAAAATTGCAGTTGATACTCACGGTATTGGCGTCGAGCAGTTCCATGGAACACATCCTTTATCGTCATCACAGTATCCTTTGCAGCTTCCATCACAAGGTGCCACACAGACATGTGCACTACTGTTATTGTACACGAACCCCTTCTTGCAAGAACAAACGTTTGGTGCAGAACAGTAACCATTAACACAAGCTTTAGTACACTGGGGTTTGCAAACACCGTTCACTTTCGCGTAACCTTTGTGACACGAACATTTGTTAGGCGCTACGCATTCTCCATGAGAACAGCCGTTACACTTAGGAACACAAACTGTCTTGTTCAAGGGAACATAGCCTTTATGGCACGCGCACGTGTGAGGTCCAGCACAGTCCGCATTGACACAGTCACAGATCGGTTCACAGGTTGAATCGTTCTTCTTTCGGTAGCCATCAGCACAGGTGCATGTATTAGGAGCTGTGCACGTAGAGTTGATACAGGGTTGATCGCAAACTGGGACACAATTGAGGTTCTCATCTGCAGTGTAGCCCTCATCGCATTTAAAGCAGTGTGTGGAGTTGTAGGGGGTATAGTTTTCTTGGCAGATGCAGGTGTTGTTGACGTGGCAGATGGAGTTGAAGCAGGTTGGACTGCAGACGGGTGTGATGCAGGTGTTCGGTCGTTCGGGGTCGAGGTAGGCGGGGGACAGACACTGGCACTGGTCGGGGGAGACACACTTGCCTCCATTGCAGCCCGTGCTGCAGATTGGAGCACAGATGTCCTGTTCGCTGTCGTGCTGCCAACCGTTGCAGCAGACGGTGTGGTTCGTCCAAGTCAGATATGTCTGGAATTCCAAATTGGAAAGTTTTAGTAAAACGAAATAGTTTTGACATCGTGATAAAATAAAATAAGAATTAACATTACATACCTCATATTTATATCTTTTGACGACACACTTCCTTCGTCCACACCACTTGTTTATGGCAACGTTGTACGGCTTTTTTCTTCGTTGTCGGGAACTGTAAATAATAGTATCATAGATAATATTAAATTTCTCTTAATTAGGTATCAAACTACAAATCGACAACACTTTATTTTAATCTGTCATTAAAAGTTTGTTTGTTAGAAATAAAAGCAGGTCAAATGATTTGAGAATATTTCCTTAATATAATGAAATTGAATTATGAATAATTTATAACAAACAAATCATATATAGTGAAAACATACAATATAAACAAACAAATCTTATCACACACCGCGGTCATATTGTGCTTCAAATATATAATTATGTAGAAAACAATAACATTTATAAAATTGCTACATATACAAATCAACACATCCATTACACATGAGATAACTACTAGAAAACTAATTAATTACCTGAGTTTAACCACACAGACTCCTTCACCATTATCGTCTAAAGCTTGTGTGTAGGATACTAACTCGACTAAAATAATCACTAATAAACAAAATACTATAGTTTTTAAACACATCGCTACTACACTACTTAAAAATAAAGCAGAACTTTTTAAAATTTTAAAGTTGAAATTTTTTAATTTAAAATTTTGACGTGTTATTTTTTAAAATTTAATTTGTCAATCACAGCACCAGTGTGTCAGTCAGTCAACTACGATATAATGATGTTCGCTATCTCCTAAACTATTACACAGTCGTATCTTGGGCCGAGGCGCTACTGTGAGCGATTGAACGATAACCCATGTTTTAATTAAACCTTTTCCGACTAATGGTGCGAGTAATTGTTTGCACACAATTAAGTTTCGGTTTTATAGAAACGCTAATTAGGTGATGAAACTTTAAAGAGCCGAAGTTTGTAATCTTTGTTAGTTTTCTTCCGTTAATCGTATTAGAAAATGGAGCAGAGATTTAGATCAAAAGATTATTTTTTCTATGTTTAATATTAGTCGCTAATTATGAATTTTAATTATAGCAAAATCGTGTAGGTTATTTCTTGTTCAATAGACGTTACTGATGTCAAATTCAGACTGTTTTGAGAAAATTATGTGCGTTGTACACAAGATTTATACCTAAAGAAAACTATTGGTAAAGGTGTGTTTTGATTTCACTATATACGTATATGAAAGTCTATCTATTGGCGGTGATGCAGCGACTGATGAGAGACCACACACGCATAAAACACTGCCTGTTGAAGATTAACATTTGGAATGCTGAACAAAACTGTTTTGACAACCATAATTGAGTTAACAGTATATAATACCAATAAATATGAACTAATTAGTTACCTAATTATTCCACAATTCACGCAATTGTAAGTGATTTCTTAATTATTTGTGATTAAGACTACATGGCGGAAGAAAAAATCATAATGTAGTCATTATTATGATTTTTTCGAACACGAGGACTCCAGTTCTGAAATGATTAGCTTACTTTCACAACGATATTTCCTTTTTAAAAATAATTTAACGGAAATAGTGGTTATTTGACAGTAAACGCACTCCATAGAACTATGGGCATCCATAAACTTTCTAATGTTCTACTATAATGTGAAAATGTGTTTGTTTGTTTGTTGTTCGTTGTCGTCAAAATATATGATGTTTTGAACATAAATAGTTAGGAGGCTGGAGAATGAAAAATTTGGACATCTTTTTTCACTGACGCAGTTAAAACCGCGTGTGGAAAGTTCGTAATAAAATAAATCGCTTACACTAGCACACGTCCCACTATAAATTATGATTATTAATTTGATAATTTATAAATTACCATTTTGAGCCTTATCGCCAAGTAATAAAGCCGCAATTGTCTAACATACTAGACAATGAGTGTGCGCAACCAATTTGCATGCAGGCCCTTATCCTTTTATTCTTATCTATTTATAGATTTAGATGTATAAGGAAGTTAGGTAATTGATTTATTGAAATTAGCATTTATTAATAAGTAAATTAGGTAACTACTTAATTGAATAGTCCACAGGAAAATTTGTCAACAGCATGCGACATGGCAATTACCTACCTAATTAATAGTCGTTAGAGTTCAAATTCTAGATCAATTAATTCTAATGATTTTCGTATGGAAAAAGCCAATATCGAAAAATGCGATGGTAAGAAAGGTTTTGCTTTCTTTGACATCGCTTTTATAGAGACAAATAATCTAATTTCGTACTTCAGATATTTAACACCATAAACCCGAGTGTCGATAATTGTTCTGAGAATTTCAAAGACACAATTGTAAAAGAATAAAACGTAGATACTCTTATTTAAAAGGTTAGCAATGCACTTGTATTGTAACCCCACTGGTGTAGTGGGTGTCGAGGAACGTAAAGACATGGTGTTATTACAGAGCTCAGAAAACTTGGTACAACGAGATCAATGACTCCGTAGTGAAATGTTACGGATGCTGGTGATAACGCAATATATTTATAAAATATTGCGTTCCTGTGAAATGCCCGGTACACAAATTGAGGCTATCAATGTGGTTATCCTCGTTAATTAGAGCTCATCTTCCTCTCGTGTGTTGAGCTGGGAAATTTGACTTATGTAGGTAGTCAAATATTTAACAGAAAATAAACCGAATAAAGGCAATCATAGAATGTTATTTTATTAAGTAAGTAAGTAAATCATTTATTTGCGTAAAACATGGTATACATTGGTGTTAATATTAGTAGTATTTTAAGGGGGGATAATCATCGAATGATCGCTTGGGTGAGGCGGGACCCCGTTCCTTCTCCTGCGCTTCGAACCGGAGCCCCAGTAACCCGTTAAGTTCTCCACGCCTCCGAATCGGCATCAGCCCGGTTGGGCCTATCCGTGGTGGTCTGATGGCTCTTTGAGGATCGTGACGCGCCGTACTCTCGGGTCTGGTTCTGGTCGGACGGTGAGCCACCCATGCTCGCCGTCCGATCCGATGCGATGCGAGGCAGCGCTTCGCTGCCTCACGCGTCCCGCCTCCTTCTTAGCTAGCATGACTGCTTCTCAAAAGGAGGAGATGGCATTCCAGTTCCCCTCGCTCCGCATCATGACCCTCACTAGGGCCGGACGCAAGAGGTCGCCATCGCCGATCGCCACGCCACGCAGGGCATTCCGCTACAGTGTGTTCCACCGTGTCCTCAGGGCGGTCCTCGCAATAATTAATGTTATTACTATAGCTCAACATGTTTCGCTAAAATGAAATCATAATATGCAAACGTTTGTTATTTTCACAAAAATGAGTATCTAGGTAATGAACGTTCCACATTCATAAAATCACATAAACTTCGATCTTAAATCGAAAGGCTTTTACAAAGACTTTATAAAATTTGTACATAACTCATTTATCACTAGTGTTTTCCACGGGTGTCATGATCTGAGTAAGGGGCACTTTTGACAGAGACCCGGCAGCGATTTTTGAGAAACATGAACCTCTTAAACTATAATCTCCAAGTCCTGCCAACAGCGGTAATTATAGCAATCCCTATCACTTAAACTGTCAAACACCAAGCGGTCACCGGTGACCGCAACCTATTGTTCTATAATTGTGTCTACAAAACCGGTACTCGACGAGTTAAAGGAAACCTATGGTCCAATAATGGAATAACATGGGCTAATGGAAACCAATCCCCATCTTTAGTAGTGAACGCTATTGTTGCATTGATTACGAAACAGATTACGGCCAAGGCATCTTACCATACGATGGATAGTCATTCACCTGAGCACAGATAACATTGTTCTACAGAAACCTATATAGATGAAGACGATGATGTTACCTAGGAATATTGACTTAAATCAATATTTTATTTATGTAGAAGAAACATTTATGAAACAGTAAAGGAAAAGTGGCCTTATAATTATTTGAATAGGTACTGTAGGATAACAACTTATGTTTTCTGTTTAATTACATATTATGTAAATTTCGATAAATAATGTAATATACGTTTTTATAATTCGTGAGACATACTAAATTAACTAAAAATCGGGGGTTAGGTACTCACGTAAATATACTGACAAAAGCTCTACTGGTTTCGAACTACAGAGGGATTCTTCCTCATGAGCAGCATGCGCGGCCGCGGCGAAGTACTACTACTAAACTAGTAATGCTTTTGTCAGTATATTCACGTGAGTAACCTGCGATTTTAGTTAAAATATTACATTGTTTGTCAGAATTAAAATAAATTAAGAAAGGCAAGGCATAACGAATGAATATCTTATTCAAAGTCATGCTCCGTCGTGAACCTCATCATTGCTTTTAACCTGGACTACAAGATACTTAGGGTCATACGTTCATCTACAAAACATAAAAAAGGTCCGTACGTACCTATTATTAATACCATGAATGTTTTGTGTTATTTCCTTCCGTCCAAATATTAAAGTTGAGCTTAATTGTGGTCTCAATAAATAAATATCCGCAAGCGGAAACATGTAGCAATGTATTACACAAGTACATCACGACATATATAAGGAAAAATGAACTCAGAATAATACATACAGATTTATGGAATGAATGATGTAAACTATATATTATTAATATATTAGTTAAACCAATAGCAATTGAGTAACAATGACGGGTTGGTCTATACCGTGTTGAAGTATTAAAATATGAATTGAAGTGCAAAGTGTTAAATATGGAGATATCTATATATTGTGCGATTGTGTTCTTTATTGTAAGTTGTTTGTGATTAAATTACTATGTTTTCGGCTTACTCACGTAATAATTTGACAAGGAACTCGACTAGTTTGTTTGTGATTGTTCAGTATTTAGGTTATAACCCAGTTATTATGAGTCTCTATTATTTTTACCTGTGAAGAGAGTTATTTTATCAGATTTATACTATTTTATATTATTTATAGTGTCCATTAGAACAAAAGATCCAGAGGATTCGTAATTTTTTTAAATTATTTGTTATTGTCTGGATATGCCCAAACCATTTTTGTGCTGTTATTTTATTTCATAAAGAAATTATCATCTACTACATACTTCGCGAACGTGTCGTGGAATTGATTTACCTACATTGTTTTTAATATCTAAGCAATTCTCGATAATGACTAACAAATGACATATAAATACCTAATTGGCAAAGATTGTTATTTTTAGCGTTCAATGTGTGCGTTTGTGACCTTTACAAGGAATAAATGTAATATAAGTCTGGTTCTTTATTACATTTATAACTAGTTTCTGCCAGCGGCTTCACCCGCATGACCGGTGTAAAAAGTATTACTCCAGACCATAACCTACCCCTGTTCCAAATTTCATGTCGATCCCTTCTGCTGTTTCGATGAATGACTGAACAAACATACACACATACTCACATATTTTCACATTTGTAATATCGACTCAAGTTAATTTCAACCATCGGCCCTACAGTCAAAGCGCAAAGTCCACTGTGGGCATCCTAACATTCGACAAACATAATTATATTTGCGTTTGTTACAGTAACTGTGTCTATGAATTGAGCCGCACAATTAATTTTGTTTTTTCATGTGTATAATTTTTCGAGATATAAAGTACGCAGTGTTGTGCACAGGATATTAGAGTATAATCAAACGAAGTTACATCGTAATCAGACCGGTAGTTTTTGCGTAACGCGTGAACAGACAGACAGACAGACAGACAGACAGACAAAAATGTTTCTAATCACATTTTTGGGTTCGGTATCTATCTAATAATAGTGAGGCTATTGATTTTTTTCATATTTTCAATGTACAGAATTTACATTTCTACAGTTTTATTATATATATACATAGATAATTTGCATTAAGAAAATGAATAATACAGGTCCCCTTCGTGCTCGACGTGTGTGAAGCCACGTGTGAAGAATACACCATCATATTGGAAGAGAGGACATGTCCAAGATACATAATAAAACCTTTGACACAGTAAGTAAGTTTACAATCATTAATCAATTAACTAGTTGAAAGAAAATCTCTGTGTTTAATTATATTTGTCTACCTATAAGACAATATGTATATATATCTTTCTTGGATTTTTAAGCGTCTTTTTGTAGTTTGTCAAGCAGTAGTATGAAAATATATTTAGCAGGCCAATCTGAAGACCTGATGATATTGCAAATATAAGTTAGTGAGATGATCCATTGACACTGATATTGATACAGTTGAACTCTAATCAGTTTTTGTTTACTATTATAACGTAACTTTTCAAACTTAGTAAGCACATTATAAATTTTTAATACCTCTTTTTATTTTCAGCCACGAAATATTAAATTGGGTTGGAACAAATAATGACTGCAATTCTACAGAAATATATAACGAAAATAAAGAATGCCTACTAGAATTCGAGTGCTTGGGTTCAGTGCTTACGTGTATAGATCATATTAAACTAACTAATAAGCAAAGTCATATAGTTCTTCATCAAACTCCTGAAGTCATTAAAAGAAGTTTAAGAAATGGTACATTGTATGTAAATAATAATAAAACAGAAGAACCGAACACTACACTCAACGAAAATGATGGCACATCAATGTTTAATGTTCACCTATTTTATAATAACGTTGACGACAAACTTGATGTTTCAAGCACAAACAATAAGAAATTGAAAATGCATGATAACATTCGCTGTAGATATGCCGAAATAGTTTGCAACAATAAGGAAAGTTTAGAGAACAACACTTCAGTATACTTTGGAAATACTGACAGTAATTTTCATGATAACTCCACGATTTTTATAGACTTATCCATAGATCGGGATGAAACTAGTCCTTTACAACCAATATTTACGGGCTATTTTCCAGAACTATCAAAAGAAGATTTGTCCTCTTATGAAAATGATTTTAAAGATCTAAAAACAGCATCATTAAAATGTCCAATATTAAAGAACGATACTGACAAATGTGACAAGAGTAAATCTGTACATATACACATTAATACAAACTATATTCAAAATAATACAAAAACAAATTATCCAAATTGTACTATGGACACCGCAACGATTCACAGCACTTTTAATTTGATATGCAATAACGTAACATTTGCAAAATATAATACACAACTAAAGTTTACTTCAAAACCCGAAGTAAAAAAAACACCAACACCAATATCTGATGGAAAACAAGACCCTCGAAGTTGGAGCTGCGAAATGATAGGTTTTTTAACAACTAAAGGACTAGATAATGACTTTAGTGAAATTAATTTCAAGAAATGTTTCAAAGATTTAAGTAATACTAACACCTCTACCGCTGGAGATAAAAATGACGTTAAATCTACTGAAATAGACGTTTTGAAAAACGATAACACAACAGACGTAAATTTAAGGAAATTGATAAAAATAATCATAAATGAAAATGGCAATTGTACACAAAATTTAGATTTTTTGAACCTTCAACGAGGAAAATTTATCGATTTTGGAGTAACTAAACAAAATGTTTTCAAAAATGATGAAATTGAAATAAATCTTTCTAACTGTATGAAAGTAAAAAAATTTACCCTAAATGACACTGATAAATTACCTCATAAAAATCTAGAAATTATAATCTCTTCAAAAAATAAATCACTAAATGCTTTTGAATTAAAGTTATTAAATAGATCTACCAATCAAAAGGGGGAAACAGAGAGAATATTTCTGGGGTGTGATCATTCTAATAATCCTAATAACAAAACCAATCAAAATATCACCGTGCTACAATGTGAATCAATTGATGCAAAAGATTTAATAGTCCCAGAAAATACAACACGAGACCATCGAAGCTGGAACTGCCAAATCCCAAAAGTCAAGGATTCTTTAATCACTAAACGAAGAAATAATCACATTAACGAAATTGATTTCAATAATTGTTTAAAGGATTCAAGTTTAAGTAGCAATGAAATCGCTAATAATAAAGAAAAAAATAAACTTATATCATCCAAACCTCATTTTTTGGAAAAAGTTAATACTACAGATAAAAATTCAAAGAAGTTGATAAAAATAATTATGAATGAAAATACTAATTGTACCAAGATTCCATCTTTAAAACTGCAACATGGAAAATTCTTCGATTTTGGAGTAAAAAGTTATGAACGGAATGTTCTCGAAAATGACGTTGTTGAAATAAATCTTTCTAACTGCCTCAAAGCTAACTATTCTACAATGAATGATACTAATAAACTAACTCAAGAAAAAGACAATATAGTAGATATGACAATATTTTTAAAAAATGAATCACTTAATGCTGCAGATTTGAAGTTATTAAACGGAGCTCCCAAAGAAATCAACGAATCAGAGAAACTAATTCTGCGGTGTGATCGTTCGAATAACTCCAATAATAAAACTAGTACTGAGCTACAATGCGAAACCATTGACTTAAAAGATTTAAAAATGCTAGAAAACAATATAGATATAAATCAGGATATAACACAAGACGATCAAGGCTGGAACTGTCAAATCATAGAATTTAATTCTTCTTTATCAAGTACAGGAAAAATCAAGAAAACATATTTCAAGGATTGTTTTAAGAGTAACAGTAAGGAAAAAAATGAACTTACGTCTTCCAAACCAGATCTCGTGAATAAATATAATATAACAGACATAAATCCGAAGAAGTTGATTAAAATAATCATGAGGGAAAATATCAATTGTACCCAGAACATTGCTTTAAATATCCAACACGGAAAACTCGTCGATTTTGGAGTGACGAAATCGAATGTTCTGGAGAATGATATTGTCGAAATAAATCTTTCTAATTGTATCAAATCCAAACAATCTACAATAAATAGTACTGACAAACTACTTACAACAGAAATGACAATCTTTTTGAAAAATGAATCACTAAATGCTTCTGATTTGAAGTTATTAAATAATGTTCCAAAACAAGAACGGAAGGAAACAGATGGAAACGATCGATTATTTCTACGGTGTGATAGTTCTAATGTCCCTAACAGTAAAACAACTAATAGAAATAAAGCATTAGAATGCGAAACCATTGAATTAAAAGACTTAATAAAACTTGAAAATAGCAGAGATATAAATCAGAATATAACAAAAGATACATCCATTGACAATAACAATAATGATAAAAATGAGAAGAAGAATGTAGAGGGTAACAAAACCTTTACTAAGAATATAGGAGAAAAAGATAAAAGAGATATTCAAAACCTAATTACTTTTAATAGGAAGAAAGATGTAAATAAACTTGGAAAGGCAGAAAATCTTAATGTAGAAGACGTTGACGTTGAAAAGATAATACTAATAACACTAGCTGCAATAGCTGGTACCAGCACACTTCTCCTTTTAGCATTGCGATTCTGTAAAAAGCCTGGACATCATTACAGTAAGTATACCTTTATAATCTTCCGTATACAATAAAGGTTTCTTTTTAGAGTTTCACGTATCATCATAGTTGTTAGTTACCGAAAATTTTGTACCAAGTAGACCTATTAACTCGTTTCAACATTTTAGAAAATCATTTACGATGTTCCCATAACACTACAAAGTTTTGCCATTTCTTTCTGCCCGATCTTAAGTTGCTTAAGCTATTCTTCTTCTATATTCCTCTGTGAGTGACTTCATTGATTAATCTTTCTACGCGGTGCTGATTGTTTGCCATCAGGTGATCCATGTTCTTGTTTATTAAAAGTTGGAAAAAGGGAACATGTTTTTCCGCAAATATATGAAGGTAGACAAATAGAATAGGCATGGCGACTATTTTTTAATTTTTTGTCCGTCTTTTAGATATTTTAAAAATCTTCGATACGTATTTTTTCTTTTTTCTCGTATCCAAAAAAACATGTAGATATTTTGAGTTAAAATGACGCGTGACGTCACAATTAGGTACGATTTCTCCGTAAGTGTGACGTCAACACCCCCCACTCTCTAACTTTAATGCGGAATAACTACGTATTCTTCTGTTAATTTGATAAAACAAAAAATACGTGTCTGATATTTTCGTGCGATCTTAATAACGGACTAATTACTTTTTTGATTTTTTTACCCTGTCGATACGCCTATTAGAGTAGGTACTAATATTAGTTTGTTTTTTCAGATCCAGCAGCGACACGGGAACCTGCAGTTGATGAAGAGACAGCATTTTAGATAACGACATAGTCGAGTGGTCTTGCGGCTGCGACTACCAACGATACCATGATATGTTTATGTTGTGTAAGTATATTTAAGTGATGTAAATAATAATAAATTAAGAATTGTATACCGTGTTCGCATATTTTGTTTCCTTTGTGATATAATTTAAAGCTATAAATATAACATTTACCATATTATAGAATAGAACTTTCATTCACTCCTTTAGCTGTAGTAATAAACGAACGTAATGTTTCTCGTAATACGTAATAACCAGTTATAAGAAAGAAAATTCTTAAAGACTTTTAAATCAAAGCTTGTGATTCAAGCCAAGTTAATCAAAAGAACGTTTTCAATTACGTTACTAATCCACTGGCAACCCTTATCGCCGGAGTTGCCAAGCAAAAAATAAATCTTACAAAGCGAAGTGAAGTAGGTACCTACCAACACGATAAAATTAATTTTCATGCAACAGAACCGCTGCGAAAGTGCACAGAGAAATTGTGCAAGCTTTAGTTGAAATTGCTACAGTAATTCGCAGACCGTTTACACAGACATTGAAAAGATTGCGGCTTAAACAGAAGTAACAAATGAAAAAATGTTACCTAACTATACAATCAGTATTTATATAATAAAGAAAGAACTTTAACACGTATTGTACAGACCATACAGACCCATACTCCTAAACACCCCGTAACACATAAATCCTTTTGCTATAAGAACATCTAAAATTGGACCTTATCCAAATTTTATGATATTTATAACACAATAAACGACAAGTATCGCAAGCACCTGGCTTCGCCCGATCCATCGATGTGTGGCGCGCATGCCCTGTTGGATCTAACCACAATAAAAGGAACCCTAATGCCAAATATTATTACGTTCTTTGCACCTTATAAAGGACATTTTAAGAGCGGGGGTAGAGTCTATGTTATACTGGCCACCGTAACAACTTCAGACAGGTTGGGCGTCGGCAAACTTCGGGGGCGATCGTGCGTTTCCGTTGCGAGTAGAGCCTCCGTAGTTTTTCAGACGGTAGGGCCCCAACTTGGGGACCTTTCATATAGGTATTTTCGTTTTCAACTTTAGTAGCCGATTGTGGGTTTTACTTTACTCCTCTAATATACTTCACAAAATATTTACTGTTTGTGTGGGGTAATTCATTAATTCCTCGTTTGACTCATATAAATTGAACATATCAATGTAATTAAATTAATTTATCTTTATTGCCGTATTTCCAGAACGGAACAAATAATGTTATTGTCTAGATAGAACACGTAAGGAATCTAAATATTTTTAAGTAGCTCTAAATACTGGAGTGATTTTATGGACAGAAATCTATGGTAGTTAATCAGAAAAGTATGTGAGATATTTAGTGGTAGAATTTAAAGGTTCAAGTGCGTCTCTGGGCTTAGGGGTGCAACGGCCGCGCCGGCGCGCCCCGTCGATACGGCGCCACACCGCCGCCCCAGCCCGAGCGGCCGAATGCACGCGCTCCGCACTACGCCGACTTCTCAACATCCACACATTTTAATTCTACCAAAAACTACAGAATATCAATAATAATACCAACCAATCACAAAAACCCGCGCAATATTTCCATTTAAAAAGTGAATCCGCCATCATTGGAAACTTTATTCCATTTATTTATTTCGTGTGCCAGTGACACAATGCCTGTCAGAGTGCTGTGATGTATGAAATTATTTTGGAATCAGTGTTAATTTTTTGATAAACATTTTTGATGGTTGTCGTTAAAATAGAAGTAATTTAGGACGCAATAATAAATTGGTGATGTGACGAGCTTCTTGCGTAACAATCAGTAGGTGAGTACCATCTTAGCATCTTTATTTAACCGTAGCTCTGTACAGTATAACAACTGAATTCTGCGTAAGACGTATTTAAGATGAAAATAGATACATTTTATACAATAATTTTAGTCTTTAAGTCCTTGAAGTTTAGATACTTAATTACTTTTCTTAATTTACAAAAGGAAAAGACACCCTAAATACGACAAACGCAATTGCTTCTAATATATTTGTACCCTACTATCGATACGTGCGTACGCTAGCACACAGAGTAGTACACACTTTAATACCGATTACTTGACGTAATCCTATTGAATGAAGAAAGGCTTCTAACGAGACTTAAGAAGGTATAACTTGACCTGTATGCTTATTGAGCCGCATAATGGTTGGAGACCAGGTAGATAACGATCGTGGAAGGAAAGGTGAGGAGACAGAAAGACTTGTATACTTATATAGAACTTCAGGCACGTAATGTTGGTTAGATAAGGGTTTGGGCGTAAGAGCCGACTTTTTATTGACCAGTAGCGTACATACCTATAGAAGCCTTTCTTTTTCTTTCCAGAAAGTTATAAGTCTGTCTTGTCAACGACTTGGTTGATGAGAAGTCTGCCCTTGTATCGTTTGCCGGTAAAATAAGCAGTAGGTACCAACCAATTCTATGTGATAAGTCATATAGACACTTAATTGAAAACCTAAAGATTTTCTCTGTCGGTGTCTCGTGGTCAGTAATCGTTTTGAACACAGACAGAAAAATAAAAGCAGAATATCGAACACAGAGCTCATATAGCCCATATTAAAATTCCTAATACAAAATAAATCTGTATAATTATATAACATACTTTTCAGTACAATGAGTGCGAAAAGTATTTACCATAATTGTAAATAACAGCCCCATTAATTTGCAGTAACTGTGCACTCTACGCGAGTGTACTCCGGCGGAGTGAAGTTGTTCAAACGACATCACTGAGATGAGGTAGTGAGTGTTGTATGAAAACATACTTTATTTCCACTTCCTACAACGTTCTCTTTTGAAAAAAAACAGTAATTCTATTTGCTTTAGGGCCAATTTTTTCAACGCCAGATAAATTTTATCGGAAGAATAATTTAAAAATTATCAAATGTCAATTTTATTCCACAGATAAGTATTGACTGATGGTGGAAAATCAGCCCTTACACCAGTTTCAGCTTTGTGACCTGGATTGTTTTTTCGGAAATTTCTCCGTTAATAACACGGAATCTGGAATTACGCTGCTATGTAGCAATAAGCTGACTCCCTATTACATGGCTGAACAAGACGTTTCAATAGTTAGTTACCTTTATTTTTCAAAATATCTCAGCTGTAGCACGAACCGATCGAAATTCCAGGTGTAACTGTTACAGCAATAGGCTCTTGCATGGGTTTCATAACAAAACTATAGAGTGAAAAGTGCATGTCTCATAGGTAAAACCTCTTTGCACCGTTCAGGAATTAAAAGGAGGATTACGTTGTGCATGTTTACAAATCCATCACATCACCATATCACACTCTCCTGTCCTCAATAAGCCTAAACAAGCAGATCGGGTTATTGGTGCTATCCTCATAATAAATTATTACAGCGTTACATCGATACACATCATGTCAATTTTCACAAACTCGAAGTAGCGCCGTGTTTCCCACGAGACTGAACCACTCAGGTAACATTACACAACATTCCTTTTGGTTCTTGGAAGGGGTGAGCAGAGACGTACATATTACATAACATATTTTTTTTACTACCATCATCAGCAATAGCATCAACAACAACATTAACTGATCACGACATCAGGACAATACACTGGACTATGGCCCGTCCTCTGCATAATGCAGTCCGACAGGCAGGGTGGAGATCGCACTTTAAACAAATCAGGTTTATCAGAGCCGTCTGACCTCAAGCCACTTCTCCTTACTCGACTCTTACAATCACATAAAACGAATAGATATGTTGACCTATTATACTTTGCCATCAAAGTAAAACTTTGACAGTTACAATGGTATCAGTAAGCAATAAGGATCGATACCTGGTTCCAAGCATTCGACACAATTCCAAACTCTAACCAATCATTACGTATGGGTAACATCACAAAACGTATACATAGTCCTTTACTTGCGACAGGAACCCGAGACCCTATCCTCGGTAGCTATCAGTGACCGACTATCTATGTATACTACTATACATAGATAAGCGCTCGCCCCGCCACTCAGTCTACGTGGAAAGCAACATCAATCTAACTGAGTTTTTTTGTTTGCGCCCTAGAATCTATCGACCCGAGCCCTTTGTTGCAGCACCGAAGGCCAGCCATATAAATTCAATTGTTGGCATTGAGCCCTTTCCCTATTCAAATGTAGTTAAAGCATATCTACGTTAGGAGCGACGGTTTCATAAATTAGATTGCGGCTCTAGCAACATTTATCTTGCAGAAACATTCGGAACTCGCAAAATATATGTAAAAAGGTCGCTATGTACGATTGTTTCTGAACATAACTACAAAGTGTCATAGTTTAAATTAGTGCTGGGTTAGGCAAAATATGTATGTATTCTTAAGTTACTAACGTATGAAATCTCTTTAGACACTTGGAGTTAGGAATTGTGCCTGGTATATGGCATGGTAAAGGCTTTATCACATGGGTTTCATTACATAACGTAGTAAACGAAAGTAGGTGGTATATTTATTGTGTGCACACTTTTGTCCAGTGCGCGTAATGTTATATTCTAGAAATGATAAAGGTACATACATTATCTCTATTAATAAACTACCGGGTCGTAGGAACAAATTAATTTGAAATCGTAAACATTTAAATGGTTATCTGTCAGGTGAGTAATAAGACTATAATAAAATCAATCTCTATAAAAATCTATTTACAACAACAAATCGTTCAGGAAAACTCCCTTTCAATTGAAATTACTTACAATAGCGTCCGTTTTTTCCGTTTGTTAATAATATTACATGAACACAAATAGGTTCAGTAATTGTATTGTCATCGCGGCATACATGTAGGTAATAGCGTCATTATACTTGTATAACTTACTTCCACAAACAAACCTATAATTATGTAATCATTATTTCTTATACATAAATAATATTATAAATTCGAAAGTGTATTTGTCTTTTTTATGGGATACGCCGGGTAAACGAGCAAATGCATCACCTGATAGTAAGGATCGGCGTCGCCCATGGACACCTGAAACACCAGAGGCCTTTTATGGATTAGGAATTTGAGGATTCTTGGGGGTTCGAGGATTGGGGATACTGGGTAATTGGGCCTCCGGTAACCTCAATCACACGACGAAATACAACGCAAGCGTTGTATTTCGTCGGTTTCCTGTGAGGCCGTGGTATCATTCCAGTCGAACCAGCCCATTTGTACTGATACATGGTTTTCCCACACTTACTATTATATCTTTGATCAAGACTAACCTAACTAGGTCTGAAGACAGTAATAAAGCTTCTATTTTTTCGAGTGAAGTCACGGATATCTATAGCTATCTATGTAATTAATATCTGAGTGGCTAAAAGTACCACTGTGTAAAATTATGTTGTTCAGCGACAAACGTCAAAATAAATTTATGAAATGCAATTTGGCAGCCTAATATTTTAGCATCATACACTTATATACGTACACTAGCAAAAAAAAAACGGGCGTGATGTTATGTCCCTAGTTTTAATAAAATTAGGTCGAGTCCAGTCATTTCGGTGTCTCACGCAAAGGTCTTCATTTTCTTCCCTCAATTTATTCAAGTTCGTATTCTCGAAAAGTTTCGGTCGATCGAACACCCCTCACTGGTTAGCCCCACCCCAAGCTAGCTAACATTCTCATGACATCTACAAGAGTCACTCTGTCAATAATTTTGTGAATCAATTAATTTACGACTATTTTGCCATTAGAATAAAGCTGTGTATGGCTTTAAGTAAGTCCGTAGACAGCGGAAGAAAAAACTAAACTCCGTTTTTTAAGAAATCGGCAAAAAGCGATCAAAACTTTTTGTTGTAATTCCAGTAATTCCAGTAATGTTAATAAATTGTTAGGTAGGATAAAATATAATTAGGGTTGTTTAATTTCAATTTTTTATTAAGGCATGATTCGGTTTACTTCCCGATAGCAGTATTTTTATTCTGTGACAATTCTCATTAAACAAACAGTAAAATATATATTGTAACGCATGTACTTTACTGTACAAAGTATGTACATGATTGTTACTTTGTTGCCGTAAGTTTACACAAAATTATAATGAGATATCCAAGTTTATTTTTCTTAAAAAAACGTTGCTCTACACTAGGACTTCTTTCAGTGACATGGGTGCGTTTACAAACATACAAGTTCACAAACACATGACACCCAGACCCGGAACCACAATCTGTGGATCATACAAAGAGTTGTTCCGTGCGAGAATGGAACACGCAACCACCGCACCACCCGTGTCGTCGAGTTCCTTTTTTAACTCTAACTTAACTATTTCTAAGGAATTCCAAAGATATGGAAAGGTAACGTTGTATGCCTCGCATCGATCCGTATGTACCTAAGACCGACGACAACATTAACATAAGAAGTAATCACGTAAAACCAAGCGTACATCAATCTGCATTATCTACATAAATCGGTGATAGCCATGGGAGACTGGTACATAAATCATTGAGGTAGATAAGTCAATAATTTACATATCTATAAATAAATAAAAATGTAGTGTAGTATGTCTTGCTAAGCTCCAAACTCGACGGCGCGTCAGCCATCAGATCATCACAGATGGGGCACCATAGGGCTGATGCCCGATACGGAGCCGCGGAAGCCTTAACGGGTTGTTTAAGAGCAGAAGCATTCTGTCTCGTCTCACTCAAAGCAGGCGAAGTCATTGGATGATTTCCCCCACCCCCATTTAGGAAGTGCTAAAAAGTCAGACCAGGTTTTGTCCGGTCACAAATAGGTATGTTGTACTCTGTCGTCAGCACACGATAAGTAGTTGGGATATTTGCTTGTTGTTCCAAATGATTATAGAAGCACATTA